TTTATGCTAAAGTCAACTACATTGTGCTGATTGCATTTATATGAAATCCTAGAAAAAGGCAAAACTTCAGTGACAGCAGACCAGTGGTTTCCCAGGGCTGTGATCCAGGGGAGATCAACAACAAAGATGCAGGAGAAAACTTTTTAGGATGGAGGAACTATCTGACAGCTGAATTTTTGTGGTGCTTATGGTGGCTCAGATGGTAAAGAATCTGCCTGCAATGCAGGAGACTTGGGTTCCATCCCTGGGTTGGGAAGATCCCCTGGAGACAGGAATGGCAACCCACTCCAGTATTCTTGTCTGGAAAATTCCATGGGCACAGGAGCCTGGCGGGCTACAGTCCATGGGGTCACAAAGTCAGACACAGCTAATACTTTCACTTTTCACTTTCAGGCAATTACTAAGATTCATCAAACCACACACATAATATGGATGAGTTTCACTCAACATAAATAAGGCCTTAAAGGACAAAACAAACCCTAAGCCTGCTTGGTTAAGTGTCTTTCAACCTGTTTTCCTGATGCCTTATGCCTGGTGGTCTTAGGGCCTGCTGAAACAGCCTCCTTTATCAGAAACAAGGTCATTTAAGGCTTTCTTTTTTTCCTTCTTGGCTCAGAGCTGCGGATCCAACTGACGCTGACCGATTTCCAGTGGGCACCATCGTGTGTCCCAGGCGGAGGCTGACGGAAACAAGCTTGTGTTCCTGTCACTAATGATATAGGCCTTCATCATCGGCTCTGCCAGGCTGTGTTCATTGTCATTACTCCCATTGAAGAAGAGAACAGAGTTATAATGAGCCGGTGTTATCCGCTCACCAGTGATTTATAATGGGCAAACTAGGGCGGGAATAGAGCTTTTTCTGGCTAAGGAGGTTGCATGTCACTCTTCAAATCTAGGCTGAGAATTTATTTATGATGCATAGACAGTCACTCAGAAAGTTAAAGGCCTCCTTTGTTCTCTCTCATGGGTTTGAACACTACGTGTTTTACCCTGGGCTAGCACAAAGGCCCCTCGGTGTCTTACTGTCACACCTGCAGTCAGCCTGTGATCGGGAGGGAGCGTTCCTGGGGATAGTGACTCGGCTAGAAATGAGGCCTCTGTAGAAAGGCCTAGAGGATTTCAGGCCCTCCCAAAACTCTAAGCAGAGACAGGAAGGAGGAAAAGGTCAGGAACAGGAAGAGACCCTTAGGTAAGAGTAGCGGCCTTGCACTTTAGGTGAACTTTGAAGAATTGCCTTAGAAGTTCTCAGATAACATCCCAAACTGAGACGAAGTCAGCAAAAGGTGATGTATGAACGGGTGCGTTGAAATCAAGACAGGTCGAGGGACTCCCCTGGTGGCCAGTGCAGGGTGCAGGGGACATGGGTGTGATCCCTGGTCTGCGGAGATCTCACACGCCGGGGAGCAACTCAGCTCATGTGGCACGGGTACTGAGCCCATAGGCCACAGCTACTGAAGCCCGGGTGCCTGGAGCCTGTGCTCTGAAACAAGAGAAGCCATGGCGGTAAGAAGCTGATGCACGCAACTGGAGAGTGGCCCCAACTCGCCACAACTAGAGAAAGCCCACATGCAGCAGCAAAGACCCGGAACAGCCAAAAATTTTAAGAATAAAAAGGGCAGGTTGTGTCTAATTGGGTAGCAACAAGCAGAATGTTTATGACCATCACGGTGTCCAAGGAAAGGGTATTTGGGGCGTGTGCCTAGGTTTCCAAGTGCTCTTGGGGAAACTTGAATCTCTGTGGATCCTGACACCTGTGGATATTGGTACCTACCCCACAGCATGTGAATCCCTCTAAGGGGAACCCACTGAGTTGTCATAAGCCACCAGCACCCTCCAAATCACTGTAGATGGTGACTATAGCCACAGAATTAAAAGATGCTAGCTCCTTAAAAGAAAAGCTATAACAAACCTAAACAGCATATTAAAATGCAGAGATATCATTTTGCTTGACAAAGGTCCATATAGTCAAAGCTATGGTTTTTCCAGTAGTCATGTATGGATGTAACAGTTGGACCATAAAGAAGGTTGAGCGCCAAAGAATTGATGCTTTTGAACTGTGGTGTTGGGGAAGACTCTTGAGAGTCCCTTGGCCCGCAAGGAGATCCAACCAGTCAATCCTAAAGGAAATCAACCCTGAATATTCATTGGAAGGACTGATGCAGAAGCTCCAGTATTTTCGCCACCTGATGTGAAGAGCCAACTCATTGGAAAAGACCCTGATATTGGGAAAGAGTGAGGGAACAGGAGAAGGGGGAGGCAGAGGGTGAGATGGTTGGATGGCATCCCTGACTCAACAGATACGAGTCTGAGCAAACTCGAGGAGATAGTGAAGAACAGGGAAGTCTGGCATGCTGCAGTCCATGGGGTCTCAAACAGTCGGACACGACTGAGCAACTGAACCACAACAACACCCAGCATCCTGTCCTGGCCACACATTGGCCAGTGACCTCCTGGTGGGTGACGAGCCGCCCTGGCATCTTGATCCTGGGCCCCAGGCTGCCTGGACCAGAAAGTAGACTGAGTTTGATGGGCCCTGCAGCTGTGGTCCCTGTTCTCTCACGAAACTGACTTTCTAGAACAAATTCATCTGGGCTGAATTTGGGAGGGGTGAGTCTGCCTTCCCAGCCCTGGGTCAACTTTAAGTAAGCTGGCTGTGGAGGAGGGGCTTGACCTGCGGAGCTGAGAGCCGGCCCCAGGCCTGTGATGTGCTAAGGATCAAGGCCTCTGGGACAGCCCTGCTTCCCAGGCTGGTAGAGGTGGTTGGGGCGGTGTGGGTGGCGGGGGCGGGGGGAGGGGGGGGTCTTTGTTTAATAGAGCAGCCCCTGCAGCCATGGTTTCCTCTCCAAGTTCCCAGGACCCTGGTGTCCTCAGAGCCTCAGTGGGAAGACGCCTCAAACTGAGTGGCTCCACATTGATTACTTCTGTAGTTGTGTGGTGTAGTATGTCATTTTTTTTAATATACTCTATTTTTAGAACAGTTTTAAGTTCCAGCAGGATTGGGTGGAAGGACAAAGATTTCCCATATGCCCTCTTTTCCCATATGCCCTCTGCCTGTATATATGCACAGCCTCCCCTGTTATCAACAACCCCCAACAAGGGTAGTCCATTTGCTGCAATTGATGATGCCGCATTGACAGGTTATTATCCCCCAAAAGACTATAGTCTACTTTCGGGTTCACTCTTGGGATTGTACATTCTATGGGTTTGGGCAAATGCATGCACCATCGTGATGTCATACAGAGCAGTTTCTCATCCCTAAAAATTCTCTGGACTCTGTGTTTTCATCCCTCCCCCCTCAACCCCTGGCCTACTGATCTTTTCACTATTGCCATAGTTTTGCCTCTTGCAGAATGTCATAGAGTGGGACCCTTGAGTATGGAGACTTTTTAGGTGGGCTCTTTTACTTTGTAATGTGCATTGAAGTTTCCACCGTGTCATTTTTTAAATTAATAATATATTTATCACTTTTGGTTGTTTCGGGTCTTTGCTGCTGTGCACGGACTTTCCCTAGTTGCAGCAAGCGGGAGCTATTCTTCCCAGGCTTCTCCTTGCAGTGGCTTCTCCTGTTGCAGAGCACAAGGTGTGGGGCACGCGGGCTTCAGTAGCTCCAGCTCTCGGGCTCGAGAGCACAGGCTGGATAGTTGGGGCTCATGGCCTTAGCTGCTCTGCAGCACTTGGGATCTTCTTGGATCAGGGACTGAATCCACGTCCCCTGCGTTGACAAGCGGACTCTCATCTACTGCACCACCAGGGAAGTCCGACTGTGTCATTTTAAAAAGGGTTCAGATACATCTAGCGGCTTGTCAGTCACGTGCAATCCCTGTCACGTTGGCTCTGGACCATGTGTGGCTTGTGAATGGTTTTGTGGGAGTGTGCCTGGACCCCCCAGTAGGATGATGAGCTCTGGGGAAGGGGACGGGCTTGTGCCCTGGTGGTACTGGCTCTCTACTGGATGCTTGGGGTGCCTGCCTATCCTTTGTGGCTTGGTACCAGAAGCTGGGTGCTCTGGATTAGAAGGAATCTGGTTTGGGCTTGAGGATGGGCTGTTACAGCAAACCCTTCAGGGCTATTTATATTGATGAAGAGTATGTTGTTCGCTTCTGGAGTCAGAGCATCTGAGCTCTGACCGTGGAGCCCATCTGTAAGATTTTGCACCTGAGCTTCCCACGTGGCTCAGTGGGAAAGAATCCACCTGCCAGTGCAGAAGACAGCTCGATCCTGAGTCAAGATCCCCTAGAGGAGGAAATTGCAATCTACTCCAGTATTCTTGCCAGGAGAATCTCATGGACAGAGGAGCTTGGCAGGCTACAGCCCATGGGGTCACAAAGAGTCGGACACAACTGAGCAACTGACTGACTGACTGACAGGACTCATTAATACTGTCTCTCTTTGTGTCCAGGAGTCTGGCATAAAATTTTCTCTGTCCCCATCACCCAGCTCGGAAATATGACAAATGTTCCTTTCCCTGAAAAATTTCTATTGTTTGTTTGTTTTTGTTTTTTTAACTAGAATCATTATTTGAATATTTGTTTTCACTTATGTGGCAGCACCGGCTCTTAGTTGTGGCTCTTTGATCTTACTTGCAGCATTCAAACTCTTAGTTGCATCATGTGGGATCTAATTCCCTGACTAGGGATGGATCCTGGGCCCCTGCGTTAAGAGCACAGTCTTAGCCCCTGGACCACCAGAGAAGTCCCTCCTTGAAAAGTTTTGATCAGATAATCTCAGCAGAATACACTCTGACCTAAAGTACCTTCAGCCCATAAGAAAACCTCCTGAAAGTGGACTGTTCCAGTAACCTGGGCCTTTCCTGCAATGTGGGAGACCTGACTTCCATCCTTGGCTCAGGAAGATCCCCTGGAGTAGAAGATAGCAACTCATTCCAGCTTTCTTGCCTGGGAAATCTCATGGACAGAGCAGCTTGGGGGGCTACAGTTCATGGGGCCGCAAAGAGTCAAACACGAGTGACAGACTAACATTTTCACTTTTTGTGTTGACAGAGCTTCCCGAAACAAGTCTGAGAAGAAGCGTCGGGACCAGTTCAATGTCCTCATCAAAGAGCTCAGCTCCATGCTGCCTGGCAACACGAGGAAGATGGACAAGACCACCGTGCTGGAGAAGGTCATTGGGTTCTTGCAGAAACACAATGGTAACCATTACCCTCCTTCTGTTTTTATTTCTCTTCCTGCCATTTCCACTTGACGACTTTATCAAGTTGGCTTCCCTGGTGATTCAGACGGTAAAGAATCTGCCTGCAGTGCAAGAGGCCAGGGTTCAATCCCTGGGGTGGGCAGATCCAATGGAGAAGGGAATGGCTACCCACTCCAGTATTGTAGCCTGAAGAATTCCATGGGTAGAGGAGCCTGGTGGGCTACAGTTCTTGGGGTCATAAAGAGTCAGACATGACTAAGGGACTAATACTTTCACTTTTCTCTCACTTTTATCAAGCTTGTCTTCCTGGTGTTCTCAGGTTTGGGGCTTAAGTCTCCTGCCTCTGGATTTCCATTTTATTCTTCCAGTAGTCTCAAGACTTCTCCAACTATACAGCACTGATAATAAAACTTCTAGGTTAATGGTGAAAAGATTCTCCACTGTGAGGGACACCCAGAGAGGTTCACAGAGTTACATGAAGAAGAGGAGAGGGAGGAGGGAGATAGAGGTGAGCAGGAGGAGATAAAGGGGGACTCAAGGAGAGAGACAGATCTACGCAGTACTCTATTCCCTAAGTGTTCTCCGTAGCCCAGACACCCACAAAGATTCACAGAGTTGGATTGGGAAGAGAAGGGGAAAGGAGGAAATAGAGGTGTTCTGAGGTAGAAAACGGAGAGTCAAGATTGGGAGAGAGTAATCAAGACACTCCTGAATAGAAATGGGAACTGAATATTGGATTCTTAAATGTCCAAAATTTATATCACATACTGAAAAACAAAGATTAAGAATCTAGAGTAGAGGTTAGACTCTTAAAAATACAATATTAAAAACAAAAACAAAAACACAAAAACTTTTAGAAATATATATGAAGTTCGGTTTAAAAATAGGGCTTCTCTTTTTTTTTCTTTTTTGCAAGGTTGTAGAAATGAAAATGAAAATTAATGAGTAGTAGAGGAGTAATAGAGGACTTTAAAAGCAATAAGAGAAAAAAAGAAAAGAAAAAAAAATGAAAGAAAAAAAACAAAAAAAATTTTTTTTCCTAATTAAAAAAATTGTAAAAATATATGAAAATGAAAGTTAAGGAGTAATGGGAGAGTAATAGGGAATTTTAAAAGAAAATAAAAGAGAAAAAATAGAAAAGAAAAAAATTAAAAAAAAAAAAAGGTAAAAAATATATCTAGGAATTTCTCTGGAGCTGTTGCAGTCAGTGTGGGTTCGGTTCAGTTTCAGATAGCTCCTCGTTCCAGCTTACACTTCTCGATATCTATAGGCCCCTTCTGGTGTAGTCGGTGTTATCTACGGGGATTTTAATCTGTTGCACCAGTCCCTTCTGAAGCTGTTCCCTTTGTTTATTTGCCTTCTGTTTGCCGGTCTCTTCAGTGCCTAATTTCCGCCCTGACACAGGCGGGCAGAGGTGGTCTCTTGTTCAGGTTCGCTAGTTCAGTCCTGCTGCGGGGAGGTAGGGGCGCTGCAGACAGATGTGGCTGTGTGTGGGGAGCTCTCACAGAGTTCTGGCCACACTGGGTTTGCCCCGCTCACGGGTGTGTGCGCTCCCCGTCTACGCTGCTCAGGCTCCCGGCTGCTCTATATGGAGCGGGCCCTGCGTTGCGCGCGGTTCCAGTTTTCGGGTACTCCACAAAAGCGCAGATTCGGTTGCCCTGCGTTTTGTGCCTTCCCCGGCCCGAGCAGCTCAGGCAGCCCGGAGCTTGATGGGAGCACTCTCCCCGGGTGCGGTGCACCTTCTCCCCTCTGATGCCCCAGCCTCAGTTTCCACCCGCGCCAGTCAGGTGCATGAGCCTTGTGTTTAGCCGCGACCTTCCCGGCGGATGTCGACCATCCAGAATCTCAGGAAGTCTTTGGTTAGAAACTGGAGGCCTGTTTGCAGTGTGGTAGGGGATGCCGCCTTAGGGGCCGAGTTTGCCCCTTTCCCCTCCCCCACTGCCTCCTGCCTCTGGTGGGGCTGGGCCGGTCCGCAGCCGGCTAGCTCCTCTGGACTTGCTCGGTCCCTTTGTTCTGCGAACCGCCGGCAGCGTGTTTGGGCCGGTTAATTTTCTCTCTCTTTTGCTGTCCCACAGTTTAAGTTGCTATCTCACAAAAGCTCCCTCCGATTGCCCTCAGGGCACTCAGGCCCGGTCTTACCCTAAGCAATGCCGCCCGCTCCTCTCCGTTCAGCCCCCACTTGCTGGTGGCGGATGCGGGCGTCTGGGATACTTTTCTGCTGGGAGTTGCTTTTAGGCACGTAATCTCTGGGTTTTATTTATTTTTTCTCACAGTTAGGTTCAAAAACTTCCCCCAGACCTGCCAGTGTGAGGGTTTCCTGGTGTTTGGAAACTTCCTCTATTAAGACTCCCTTCCCAGGACGGGTCTCCATCCCTAGCTCTTTTGTCTCTCTTTTTATCTTTTATATTTTGTCCTACTTCCTTTTGAAGACAATGGGCTGCTTTTCTGGGCGCCTGATGTCCTCTGCTAGCGATCAGAAGTTGTTTTGTGAAGTTTGCTCAGCGTTCAACTGTTCTTTTGATAAATTTGTAGGGGAGAAAGTGGTCTCCCTGTCCTATTCCTCCGCCATCTTGGCTCCTCCTCCAAGCTTGTCTTCCTGCTCGGTTCTCCCCAGCAAACCAGACCTCCTCGGTCATAGGTTTCCTCTTTCCAACATGCTCCACCCTCCAGAAAAACCGCATCTCCAGTAGGTTTGGGGCAGGACATGCCCCCAAATTGCTTTCTCAGCCAGCGGGGCAGACTCACAGGTAGCACCCAGCCCAAGCAGGGCAGCACCAACTTTGGGAGCATCTTGATTAAAAATGTCTACAGCAGTCCTTTTCATTCAGCCCTCCAGGCACCATGCCCAGGTATTAATTTCCCATTGAATTAAACTGTACTGATGTCTCCATTCATTTCCACCACCACCCCGAAAATCCCTGGCCTTCTGATCAACACCATGGAAAAAAGTAATCAAAAATAATTAAATGACTTAATGTCAAATCTGTTTGTTCAATGAGATGTAACTCACATAGCATAAACTTCATGACTTTAAAGTTTATAGCTCTGTGGTTTTTAATACAATCTTTCATGAGGTTGTACAAGCATCAACACTATCTAAATGTATTGTCCCCCAAAGAAACCCTGTGGGGATTCCCAGGTGGTACTAGTGGTAAAGAATCTGCCTGCCAATGCAGGAGATGCAAGAGATGCAGGTTTGATCCTTAGATTGGGAAGATCCCCTGGAGAAGGAAATGTCAACCCACTCCAGTATTCTTGCCTGGAAAATCTCATGGACAGAGGAGCCTGGCAGGCTACAGTCCATGAGGTTGCAAGGGTCGGACACAACTTAGCGACTAAACCCACTCCATACACATGGAATCATACAATATGTGGTCTTTTGTTTCCAGCTTTTTTCACTTAACATCCGTATGTTAGCAACTACCTGTGTTTCATTTCACTTTATGGCCAAACAATATTCTATTGTATGGATATACCATTTCATGTATCTGTTTATCTTTTGACAGATATTTGGGCGTTTTCATTTGGGGCTGTTAAATAATGCTGCTGTGGTACACTCCTGTGCTTATTTTTTGAGTGGATATATATTTTCAGTTCTCTTGGGTATGTATCTAGGAGTGGAACTGCTAGGTCAAATGGTAACTTGGTGTTTAAATTTTAGGGAAACTGACAGACTTTTCCATAGCAATTGTACCATTTTACATTCCGAACAGCAATGTGTGAAGGTTCCAGTGTCTCCACATCCTCACCAGTACTGTTGACAGGTGTGTGTGTGTGTATGTGTGTGTGTTTATTGTAGCCTTCCTAGTTGGTAAGAAGTGATATCTCATTGTGGTTTTGGTTTGCATTTCCCTAATACCTAATGATGTTGAGCTTTTCATGGACTTAATGGCAATTTGTATCATCTTCTTTTGAGGATGTCTGTTCAAATCCTTTGCCCATTTTTAATCAGGTTATTTATGTTTTTGCTGTTGAGTTGTAAAAGTTCCTCATACAGTCTGGATACTAGACCCTTACCAGATACGTAATTTGCAGATATATCCCTCATTCTGTGAGTTGTCTTTTCAGTTTCTTTCTTAAAATACTTATTTATTGCTTTTTTTTGCTGCACTGGGTCTCTGTTGCTGTGTGTGGACTCTCCCCAGTGGTGGAGAGTGGGGGCTGCTCTAGTTGCGGCGTGTGGCTTCTCCTTGTGGTGACTGCCCTTGTTGCGGAGCACAGGGCTCTGGGGCGCACAGGCTTCAGAAGCTGCTGCACGTGAGCTCAGTAGCTGGCGACCTGCAGGCTTCAGAGCGCAGGCTCAGTCGTTGTGGCCCCTGGGCTTCGTTGCTGCATGGCTTTTGGGATCTTCTTGGACCACGGATCAAACCTATGTCCCCTGCATTAGCAGGCAGATTCTTAAGCTCTGTACCACCAGGGGAGCCAGACTTGTATAATATTAAGCTATAATTTAAGCATTTAGATAGAAGCCATAAATTAAACATTTAGATAGTTCGTCCATTTTGAGTTACTCTTTTGTATATAGAAAAAGGGAGGGAGTCAGAATTTGTCCTTTGACCTAAGATTATCTAGTTATCCCAGCAGTCCACTTAAAAAAAAAAACAAAAAAACTTTTTGATACTTTGTAAAGGTATAACACACATACAGAAAACACACAGTCAGAACTGTATGGTTGAATTAGTCATCACAGAGTGAGTGCAGCCAGGAAACCAACACCCAGGTCACGAAATAAAAGCTTCCCCCGTAGATGCCCCTCCTATTTAACTCTGATTTCCCCAAAGATAATCTCTGACTGCTTTCTTTCTATCTTCCTTCCTTCCTCTCTTCCTTTTTCTTTCTTTATTTGCTGGTTTGATGCTGCACACGGACTTTCTCTGCTTGCAGTGAGTGGGGACTACTCTTCGTTGCAGTGGCTTCTCTTGGTGCAGAGCATAGGCTCTAGGCACACGGGCTTCAGTAGGTGCGGTTCTTGGGCTCAGTATTGTGATGCACAGGCGT